TATGGTCAATGGTCATGAAGGGTTGTTTTTTAATTTCTTCAAGATACATGTAAGTTTATACATTTTTTTAAAGTAAATAATTAAAAATATGATAAAGAAACTACATACACACACTAAAGATTATATCACAGAGATAAAAAAATTAATTTGCAAAATGGTATCAAAAAAATCTACTGCGCTGCTAAATTATGGGTTTTTAAAATATCGATTTGAATCAATGGTCAAATTGAAGCAATATTTTTAAGGGTAATGTTAAATTCTGATGAAACAATATTTGGCAATTTTCTATCCAGCTACTTTCCTGAAACATTTTAAGATAAATTTCTGATGTACAGTTCTTCTTTTTTTTTTTCATCCATATATTTTTCTTTTTTTTTCTATTTGGTTTGTTTTACTTTTCTCATTTTATTTATAAATATATCAATATATTTAAAATTGTATTATAGGCTAACTTTCCTTAACGTATCCTTTTATTCTCCTCTTTAGGTAACACATAAAAAATTAATAACATATCCGGTGTCTTCAAATTGTAACTCAAAGTAGAAAAATAAATATATTAATTATCTTTGGTATTCTGTTCACTATTCAAATTTTGGTATCCATTATGTTACAATCTGTTTATTATTATCTTATATATTGATTTCATATTAATACCTATTATTTATTTAAACATTTAAACCAGATTGAACTGTATTTAACTTACTCCTCATACATTAAAGGGGACCCTGTCCCAGAATAACGATATTTTCTTCTTTTGCTAGAAAACAAAACAAAAAATTGTTCACATCAATTTAGAGTCTAATAGAAATAATTTATAATAAATAATAACAAAAAAAAAAACCTTCCTCATGAAATATATAATAACAAAAAATGTTTCAGGAAGGGAAAATAAAAAGCTCTGTCCAGGTAAGCTATATAAAAATGTCCCAGACAGATTAATGCAGATTTACACATACAGTTATGTGAAAAAGTCTTTGAACAAACCAAATTGTTAAAAAATTGATAAGTGTTTTTATCTTGTCAATTGTAAACTGATTTAACCACGCAGACATTGTAGATGTAATATATATTTAAATTAGCATTATTTATGGCTAACAACAAGCATAGGGACCAATCCGTTGTGTTCATGTTTATTTTCTCTGTGAATAATGCAACCTTATTAGCAAGACAAAGATAAAAGTATAGTATTTTGACAATTTCTGAAATTAAGTAACATTAAATAGAAAACAAAAAGAAATTTTGAAATACAGAATGTTAAATTAAAGTATTGAAAAAAAAACTCAAAGAATCTCAATAATAGATCAATTTTCACAGATACATTCAACTTTCTAGAGTTTATGCAACGGCTTAACAATAAAGAGGAAAGACTAAGGTGGATAATAAAGTAGTGAAGTATACAATAAGGTAGCAGTATTCAGAGCGAAAAATGTCTGTGTAGTTAAATTAGTTTAAAATTAAATTGAAACATTTATCACCTTTGTATAAATTTGGTTTGTTCGAAGATTTGTTTACACCACTGTATGTACACCCTCACAAGAAACTACTTCGCCTAAGTTTCAGATCTCTTTATGTGCTCCATTTTTATTAGCCTAATTATTTTAAAATTCTGCTATTTTTCATGGGTGATAAATAGTCAGGACGCAGTAATTTTAATGGTTTATATTTATTGGTGTCGATGTTTGAACCCAAACATGTGGGTCATCATCAGGGCGTGTTTCTGCTATTTTTCATTATATTTTTGTATAATTACTTTGCATCAGAAGAGAATTTCAATATTACTACCATATGTCATGGTCCTCATGAACTATCAACAGAAAATATTATGTCACATTCCAATATTTAGAATACTGCATTAAAGCACTGTTTCCCACAAAATACTCAAAATACTTTATAAAAAGTTGGAAAAAAGTATGCCTATATGGTTTTGAGCCAGAACAACCAAAACTATAGGGTTGTGGCCTTTCCAACTTCCAAAAGTAAGCTGAAAATGCTTGTTTAGGCTGAGCGAGCCAAGCAAAGAGAGTAAGCAATAGAGTTGTTTTGTCAAATTTATATAGACATTCTCATTTTTTTTTTCAGTTATTTCGAATTGCTGTTACATGTTGAGATTATTTAGTGAAACTTTTCACTTTTTAACTTATGTTCGACACTAATTTTTATAAATATATATATAATTATAAATCAGAGGAATGGTGTTGTTTGAACTTCATGAATTTGATAGGCAGGTTTAACAGTTTTGATGTCCACAGCCGAATATAAGCAACATTGCACCGTTTGTAGAAAAAATGGAGCATTGTTTCAAAGGCAAAGACAAAAAGCAGATATCAAAATGTTAGTGGAGCTGTTTCTACACCATACTACTATTTCCATATATAATTTGCTTCAACCACCTGAGTTATATTTGGTATATACCAAGAAATGTAGAAATAAGAAGTACGTTACAATTTTTCAAAAAGTAATTATTCAGAAAAATAAAAATTAAACAGAACCTTTCAATTACAAGAGCTCATCTTTATTTTCTTTTAACTACCTGTTTAGTATTTATGATGCACTGTATGCAGTGTTCAAAACTTACGGTTGATAGTTCATGAGGTCCATAACACAAAGGCATCTTCGAGAAACTTTTCCTGTGCACAGTGATTACAAAAATAAATAAAGAAAAACTGTGAACAAAATAGCACAATTCCAAGATACTTGTGGGTGCTAGGTTCATTAGGCATAGGAAGAAATCTGAAATTTGGGTAATGGGAATTTTTTGTGAGAGTGAACATATTAGTAAAATGGCAGACAGAACCTTTATAAATGAAGTTATCTACTAATAGAGGCAAGGAACACTATCATATATATTTTCTATTAATTTTGGTAATTGAAAAAAAAACTAGACAAACTTTCCATATTTTCAAAAGTTTTCGGAAAGTTTGGTATTTGTATATTTAGATTTAAACAGGTTGACGTGGTATGGGCACTGCATGAGAATGCTGGAGTAGAACTGGCCGAACAGAGTCTCCTGGACTGGCAGACAACCGGAAAGCGTAAGCGAGGACGACCCAGAACCACGGATGGAAGGAGTCAGAGAGGAGATGGCCGGTCAAGGTCTAAAGGAGGGAGACTGGGAGGATAGAGATGTGTGGAGCTCGGCTCTGACCTGAAGAGGTATTCGACGTTGGAATAACGGAAATAAGTAAGATTTAAGTATATAATTATGCATGAAAACTAGATTATCTATTATATACAAATGCTATTTAAGTTCCTTCATTAATAAATAATTTGTGTATGTAATTTTATCACTTTAAGTATAAATTTTTATCTCTATCACTATCGATTTCAATGAAAATAAAAATCTTTACATTTTAGCAATCCTGCCAAAATCAATTATAATAAATTTAAAAAAATATGAAAATCTGTATAATAAATATATTACTAGTGCAAATGAGGACATAAAGGCCTTAGGCTACAAGCTGAAACTGCAATCTGTATAAATAAATTCTAAACATCCGCCACGGTTAGAAGGATAGTCACAAATTTTGAACAAGAGATAAGAGCAATTCTCTTGGCCCTTCTAAGATTAGTAGAATGGCAAGAAAATAAATAAATAAACTTGAAAATATGAATTTAAATATCCTCAATTTAAATTGATACTTGGACCAATAAAAAGAAAATGGAACAGAGGTCACATTCTATTAGATACCATGCCAGTACGGATTTTACAGGAACAAAGTTGATAAACATGCTAGGAAATAATCTGAGATAAACCAACCAGATATTCAACTTGGTACAGACTTAGGTGTAAGAATAGTAAAAAGAACCCTCCATCGTACATTAAAGGAGAAATATGTTCAGAAAATAAAAGAGAAGTGATGGTTGTAGAAAAAAAGTGATAGGATCACAAAATACACACCCGTCACTTGTTTTAGGATGCTTACCGGACACAGCGTGAGGCAGAAGTGGATGTAGAAGTACAGAGGTCAGGTCAGAGATTCTAGATCTATCTATATCTAATACATTATGATCGGAGAACATTTTGACACGTCCTGCATCACAGGACATGTGCTTTTACAGATCTAAACAACCCCTTAACTAGGAGAGCAAAATTATAATGTGCTGAAAGGATACACATATACTGCTTATCAAGCAGGCGTTGTCCAGATGTAAGAACAAAAATAAGTTAACATATTTACATTGTTTTGGTTTTTAAATTTTTTCATAATAATAATAGCAAAATACATATTATTTTCTTTGACATATGAAAATTCTAAATGGAATCAATTTTGAAACAAACGGCAGATGTTAATGACAAGTTCCTAAGATTATGGGATGACCCATGACTTTAAAGAGTTAAAGACTTTTTATTTAGGGAAGATATTTTTTTATTATTCTTTTCATCTTGAAAAATGAAGACTCGAACTTTGAAGGAGGGAAGTTAATTTTTTTTTTTTTGGTCAATTATAAAGGTCAATAACAAAAGACCAAAATATTTAAAATTAACAGCTCTCTCTACATATGTTTCTGTTTTAGTTCAACTAAACTCTCACAAGAAGTCTCATTCATTTGCTTCCTCACTACTGAATGTAGAGAAGCATTGTAATTTTAACTGTCAAAATTATCCATTTCACAGTTAAAATTGAAGCAAAATATTCAAATCAAGAGCTCATAACGACTTCTGCAAAATTTATAATGAATTCCCATCTTATTACTTATGTTTTTGACCATACAAAATCTTTGTCAAATTGCTGAAGCTTTCACAATTTCAACTGATAAGACATCATGCTTTATTATGATACAAGTATTTATCAACACAAGAACACTTAATCAATGGTTGCTCAACAATAACCATTTGAAATAGTATCGATAGATAGATCCTGAATGAAAGGAATATTTCATATTTGAAATAAGTTCTTAGAAATTGTCACAGTTGAACCTGATAACCACTTTAATATATTTTGTCATCAAGGATGACTATTGTTTGATTAAAATATTGAGAAGAAAAATAAAAACAATACCTGTTCATATTATCGTTAACTGATGTATCTGGCGATTGTGGATGCTGAAACACATTCTGTGGTGTGGGAGGTAAACTATTTTGAGTACCCACAAAGCCAGGAATTTGGGTAACAAGCATTGGCTTGACATAACCATTGTTTGTAGTTGTTTGATTATCTGAAATATAGTCAATAATTAAAAATACATTAAATTTAAAGTAATTAAGGAGCTCTATTAAAGAGGTAGGTTTATTAGTAGAAGAATAAATTTCTTTAAATGATCTGAGAACTGATTTTTTAAAGGTGACAAAACTTAAGGATAGTGTACAGGATGGTAATTATAAATAAAAATTCAAGTTTTTTTTAATATTCTAAGAAACTATTTTTGTAAAAAAAATATTTACAATACTGAAAATACTGTTGCAAGGCCAATGGTTGTGTAGGGAGGCGATTAGGCTGAGATCACGCTTAACTGCCAGGTTTTCCTCCTTAATTAATTATTTAATTAAAAGGACCCCCTTTATAGAGGCTGGGTATACACTAAAAGGGTCTCTTGACCTCAGGTGTCAATCCACAGCTGATGAAAAATTATTAGACATCAGCTGGACTTGAACCTGGGACCTTGAAACTCTAGAATTCAGTGATCACCCACTGAGCAACAGCTCTCCCGAATAAAATGAAACTACTATTAAAACATTTAGGAAGTAGGAATATCAAACATAGGGAACTGAAAGTAAAAATCATAGACTGTACAACACAATATATACTTTAAAATTTACTTTTCCACTCAGCTAATCTATTAAAAAAGTTATACGCTTTTGTCACTAAACATTTTCTTTTATGGCTGTATATATTAATTATAATAAATAATTAAGTGCCACAAATTTTTTTTTAGTCCGAAAAGAGTGTCAGTGAGGAGGTCGGACATTTATTATCTGATATCAATAGCATACTACGAAAAGTCACCTTTAGCACAGATGTAATAAAAATGGAAAATTTACATATGACCTTTTGCACTAACAGTAGCGATATATACTTAATAGAAATGTTTTCACCAGTAAAATGGCTGAAACAAAAAATTCATTGGAAAAATTTGTTAAACTTTTAGTTAGTTTGGAGTTAATGAGAACAATATTTTCCTTCAATTAATACAAAATTAATTTAAGCTGGAATATAAAAATACGATTGATGTTCATACAACTTTGATGATTAAGGAGGAAATCAAGACCAAGATGAACTGGTTGAACTTCAATGGAAATAAACACAATCACAAATGAGACTTTTTTTTGTTTACAAATTCAGAGTAAAAATTACTTTAAATTTAATGAAAATTAGATGAAATATAAGTGAAGGCAGTAATTGTCATGGCAGCAACGTTTGGAATCGACTAAATAATAAAGTATATAAATTAACCTTTTGATTAAACCTAAAATTTTGTAACTTCATAAAATATTGTATTAACATAATCCCTATTCCATGTGATCGATGCCTTCCATATTTCACAGTCACTATATTGCTAAGTTATTTATTTACATTAATTTTAACTAATAAATGGAATTAAATTAAATTGGTACTACAATTTCTAAACTCTTCTCCAATTTTCCTCCAAATTTGGGTAAAATCGAACGAGTTGTTTTTAAACTATGAGGTGTGGAAAATAATCATATGTTTATTGATCCGAAAGCAGAAGTATTTTTCTGAAGAGTAGTGAATTGAATTTGATAAAATAGATACTTACTTAATTATCTGTTAACCAATCCCTTACTTCTCTCCAAATTTGATCCATATCGAAAGTGCAGTTTTAGAGATATAGACATATCAAAGAAAACACATTTTCACAAATATAAGAGAAAGTAAAGGACCGAATTTAATAAAATCTATAAAGAATCACTATTTTACCAATACCCACCTTTCTTTCACCTTTGAGACAAATTGAACAAGAGCCATTTCTGAAATATTGGCATATCAAAGAAAATAAATTTATGCGTGCACAAGCAGAAGTGCTGTGCTCACACACCATCAAGTCAAATTCTATCCAATATTTACACAAGACGCATCATATTCGAACATATTCATGAATTTAAACTAACCCAAGGAAATTTATACCGAATCTGTCTCATTAACAAAAACAAGGAGGGGAATGGAATAATCCAGTTGTGAAAAAGATTTGTGTTGAATAAAATTTCGCAAAAGACCAAACAGGTTGTCCTATATGGTTGACTAAAAGTTTCTTTAGACATACTTTGATAGTGTCAAAGAAGGAATTTGTTAAAATCAAATGAAGAAATTGCAATTTACAGTGAAAAGAGTTTAAAGTGATTAAATAATAGTTCATTTTTCTCATGGTAGGTTTAAAAGAGAGCGGGGAATAACAATAAATTTAAAATTTCATTTTCTACTAACAAGGTGAGATGAAAAAGTTTAAAAAACTTTTTCCTCATCTTTTTTATTTTGGTGCTTACGCATTTCTGTTTTGAAATCTTTAATTTGCTTCAATAAACATCAAGATCTCCATGACATGCTTTACAAAGGTGCCTTGATGATCTAGCAAAACCAAAAGCAACTAGTGGGTTCTGTTCTCTTCCTGTTTTAAATAATGATTGGAAAGATTGATTTTGGAATATTACTTTATTATCTACAATATTTATTTTAAATATCAAACTATTATTTTCTTTTTAAAATTTTAATACAGTTTTTAAATCAATAAGACTTCTGGGTAACCTTTTCTATCTTTTTGAAGCTGTAGTTGATCGAGGACGCATCACTCTATAATATCACATATAAACTCTTAAGTTTCCTTCCATTTATTATATAAAATTCAAAGAACTTTTTCATTACTTTTAAATGAAAATAATAAATGAGTTTCAACTGTACAAATCTTAGAGAGAGGGAAGAGGGGTTATCTTATTTGAAGGCCCACTAGTTGTTATTAACGTAAAATGATGAAGGAAGAATTATTGAAATTTAGGAGAAGGGGGGGGCACAAGTCGTTATGTATTAGTTACAACAGAGTAAAATGAAGAAAGACAAATTAAACCTAATAGTTTAATGAGTAATATGCAAGTTAAAGATAATCAATCGAACATTCATAATAACAATAAAAGAAAAATATAAAAGGATGAAAGGAGTTGAGAAACAACATCAAGAGAAACAACAAGGGCTTTTAATAATTCTTCCTGCACTGTTTTGCATTACTAAAGAGATAATAAATAATAAGGATAATATACAAAACATTATATATTTAGAACATAAAATAACTGAAATACAAAAGTAAACCAATACATACCTTGAAAGGGAGTGTAATATTTTGAAAAAGCCTGCTGTTTACAGGTGTCTGGATACAGATACACAAGGTGATGTAAGTCAGATATGCGATCAGCAAGACTTCGAATAGAGAAGTCTTTGCTAGTAAATGGTTGCAGCATGAACACTTCTGAATGTTCTATAAATTAGAAAATAATACTGTAATTTATAATATTACAGAGGATATCCGCAACTAAATAATACATCTGACACTATCTAGTGGTTCCAACAAAAATCTATGACTCATGGCGGTACCCTGAGAGAGCTCTGTAGCGAGGCTAAGTATTGATTTTACACAACTAAACAATAAAAAGCTAAAGTCAATATATTGGCTCTGCACACCAGGGGCATGGTCTTTCCGGAGCCAATAAATTAGTACTGCACACTGGTGTCAAGGTCAACCGAAGCAATTATATTGGCTTTGCGCCTCTAAAGGGTAAAGGCATATGGCTATAGATAAACTGATTTCTATGTTAATTCCTGTTATATAATTGTATTATTCAGTTTCCAGTGATGAAGAAGTTATTATATAACCATCCGCATTAATGAAACAAGGACTTCCTTCCTTAGATGATGTTAAAACTTGAGGGAAAATATACATTAGAATCTGTATTTGACTAAATATGAAAGCTGACGGTACTATAGATACATTATATATATATATAATAAGTCTGGCCAGAGACGGCAAGCAGTTCACTTCGTTCCTATAGTTTTTTCTCTCTAACATTCGTACCCTCTGTTATTTCTTCTTAATTTTTATATATATATGTTGTGTTTTTTTTTTTCATCACGGTCAAGCGAGTTTATTTACGTTCTTCATTTAGTTATTTTTTTAGTCAATTATTAAAGATAAAGGTCGTGTTTCACTAGCTGTGGATTGAGAAGCGGCTATTAATCCTTCTAAGCTCTTGAGTATTAAGGACCAACAACACGCATCTATTGACAAACACTCTTCTAGCGTGAGTAAATATTATTATATTATCACGAAAATGGTTCAGTGCTCTATTTGTGATAGTGCCATCTCTAGAGATGACAAAACTAATATAAGCTGCAATAAATGTCAGGTTATCTTTCACGGTAAATGCTGCAAACTGGGTGATAAAGAGATCGAGACATTAAAATCTCAAAAAAAAGTATGGCTTTGTAAAAAATGTGACCAAGGCAAAAAGACATACCAAATTAGGGAAAAATCAGCCAGTCCACCAAGAAGTGAAATCAAGGAGCCGTCCGCAGCTGATATTCTCGGAGCGGTTAATCGACTTAGCGCCCAAGTCAATGAAGACATTAAAAATATTAAGTCGTCATTAGAAAAATACGGGGAACTCAGCTTCGAGTTAAATGAAAGGTTTTCAAAAATAGAAAATCATCTAGAGAGCCAAGCTAAACATCTGGAGGAATTGACTACGGAAAATAAAACGCTGAAATCCAGAGTGGGGGAACTCGAGGTACGATTAAACAGAGCCGAGCAGGGCCTACTCTGTAGATCGGTTGAGATCCGAGGCATTCCGGTACGTGCAGGAGAGACTCCTTCGGCTCTAGTTGCCAGTGTGGGAGCTGGTCTCGGTGTTAAGATTAACATCGAGGACATCGATTTTGTGGAGCGCCGTAGACCTAAAAAAGACGACCCTAGACCACCACCAGTTATAGCTCGCTTTGTGAGGCAGGCAGTACGAGACGAGCTGGTCCAAAGAAGAAAGGTCAAAAGGGACTTCTCAACTCGAGACATCGGCTGGCAGGAAAACGACTCCCACCGAATATACCTTGGTGAAGAAATGACCCCTGCTAATAGAAGATTGTATTGGCTCGCACGTCAGAAAAGAGCGGCTGGTAAACTAAAATACGTGTGGTTTTCGGCGGGTAGATTGCGCTGCAGAAAAGGAGATGGCCATCCCGTGATATACATCGACCAACCAGATGATCTAGATGTTTTCTGCTGACCTTCTGATTTACGTCAACCTACAGAATGCATCCGTAAACTTCCAATCTTCTATTGTATAATACAGCATCGTGCTGGGTTGCCCATCTACTACTATTGTTATTATTGTTTCTCTATTTTAACCAATGTAATTTTTTGTTTTTTCCTCTTTCATATTTTTGAACCTAACTCTATTTTGTTTGTATTTTTTTTCTTCTCTTACAGCCATTATTTACTTCTTTCCAAATTGATTTTCACAGTTTTTTCTTACCTACAGCGTCATCCATCATATGTATACTTTTCTCCTTTCCGTTATGTCTAGCGTCTTAACTACTTGTCATGTTAATTCTCAATCCCTTCCTGCTCACTATGACGAATTTCTCCAATATTTCACCTGTAACTTCTACCACATTATTGCAGTCTCTGAAACATGGCTTAAGCCCTATATCCCTTCCTCTTCCGTTTCCTTACCTGATTATACCTTCATCCGTCATGACCGGGTTTCCCGGACTGGCGGAGGTGTTGGTCTCTATGTTCATAATAGCCTGAAACCCCGTATTCTAGATATTTCATCCCCTTCCAATCATCCTCACATTGAATTCCTCTTCGCTGAAATTTCTTGTAAAGCACATCCTCTCCTTTATGTGGTCGTATATCGCCCTCCTTTGACTCCTTTTGACTCATCCTTCGAATCAACCTTGTACAATTATGTCCCTTTCTATAATAACATCATAATTTCCGGTGATCTTAATACCAACCTCCTCACAGAATCCAACAACAAACGCTATTTGGCAAATCTCTTCTTCTCCCTCAACCTTTTTATTGTTCCTTTCGCTCCTACACACCATACTTGTTGGTCTGACACCTGGCTGGACTTGCATATCATCGATTCAGAGCAGAAACTCTTGTCCTGTTCTCAATTACCCGTTCCTTTCCTTTCTTCTCATGATCTCATCAAATTATCGTACGATATCCAAACTCCCACGTTTCTTCCTAAAACCATAACTTTCCGCAATCTTGACAACCTCACCCGTGATAAAATCCTACCGGACCTTGAAACTCTAAACTGGAACGATATTTATTCCTGTACCTCTATTGATCATATGGTAGACATCCTCACTTCTAATCTTATCCATATTCTTGACATACATGCTCCTATCAAAACCTCAACCTTCCGTCGCCAACCTGCTCCTTGGATGTGTCAAGAAATCCGCGACATGCAAAAGAGACGTGAGGCAGCCCGTAGACGCTTCAGACGAACTCGACTAGCAGATGACTATCAAGTCTATAGGGTACTCCGTAACTTGACACAAACAACGATCAGGAAAGCGAAATCAAACTTCTTTCACGAAACTCTCGCTTCTGCTCCTGATTCTAAATCAATATGGCTAACCCTTCGTAAACTCTCTCTTTGTAAATCCTCTTCCTCACCGTTCTACCCGGTATCACCCGATGAACTAAATTCCTACTTTATATCTTCCACCACCAGCAACAGTTCACCCACCTCTCACCAGTTTTCCTTATCACCCTCATTTAACAGTGATAATTTCTATTTCTCCAACATCTCACCGACCGACCTTATTTCCTCTATAATGAAATCACACACAAACTCCATCGGACTTGATGGGATACCAGTCAAACTATTAAAATTATGCCTTCCCGAAGTCGTTCCAGTTCTCCTTTTCATCTATAATTTTTCCCTCCAGAACTCAGTTTTTCCAACTGCTTGGAAAAAAGCATTAGTCAGACCTATCAACAAAATTCCCAATCCTACCTCTCCTAAAGACTACCGCCCAATCTCCATTCTTTCTAACCTTTCTAAACCTCTGGAAAGAATAGCTCAATCCCAAATCTCTAAATTCCTTGAAAACTCAAAACTACTCGATCCTCTCCAATCTGGTTTCCGACCTGGCTTCTCCACACAATCCGCCCTACTAAAAATTACCAATGACTTACATACCGCAATGGACGAAAAAATGTTAACTGTATTAATACTTCTCGACTTTTCCAAAGCTTTTGACTCCTTAGACCACTCTATACTCTATACTAAATTAAAATCCCTATCCTTCTCCAACAGCTCTATCCTCTGGTTACAGTCTTTCCTATCCGACAGAACTCAAGCAGTCAGCATTCCAAACCAACCCCTATCTTCCTTTCTTACACTGTCCTCTGGAGTGGCCCAGGGTTCGAGCATTTCCCCTCTCCTTTTCAACTCCTACATAAATGATCTTTCCAAATCCATCTACCACTGTTCACATCATTTATACGCTGATGACACCCAAATATATTTTTCCTTTCATCCTTCTGAGCTACTAGTCGCGTTCGCCAATATTCAGGCTGACCTAGATAGGATCAGTGCCTGGGCAAGTCTGAATAATTTAAATCTAAATGCGATGAAAACTCAGGCCATTATTATAGGTTCCAGTCCTATTCTTAAATCCATCTCCTTCCTTCCTCCATTAGTCATCAACGATCATCCTGTCACATTCAGTTCATCCGTTAAAAACCTAGGAATCACCATAGACGAAAACCTCTCCTGGAAACCCCATATTGCCCTCATCTCCCGTAAGTCAATAGGTACCCTTAAGCTATTTCATCGCTCCCGCCACCTACTCCCACAACCCATCCGCAAGCTCCTTGTATCCTCTCTCATTTTCCCCCACTTTGACTACGGCTGTGTGGTGTACGGAGGCATCCCGATGGTACTCGAGGATAGATTGAAGCGACTCATGAATACGTGCTTAAGATTTGTCTTCGGTACATCAAAGCGATCTCATGTGTCCCACCTTTACGACGAGTTAAAGTGGCTCTTCCCTTCTTTCCGCAGACAATATTTCCTCGGATCTTTCCTATTCCAAACAATCAACACTAGACACCCTTCTTACATCTACAGTCTCCTACAGTTTAAACCCGTGGTCCACTCCCAGAAAACAAGATCCCGTGTTTCCGACCTTTATATCCCTTCCCATAGAACTAAGACGTTTGAATATTCCTTTATTTCCCGATCCACAGCCTTCTGGAATTCCTTGCCATCTGAAATCCGTCATGCCTCTTCCTTGTCCTCATTTAAATATCATCTTTACCAATTCCTTCTCACATCCCAAAATGACGTTATACAATAAAATAAATATTGTGAAACAGATTTTGACTGAGGTGAATGATTGATAAAATTTATTGTCTTAATTTTAAAAATCAACCCATGCTTATTTTATTTTATTTTTATCTTCATTTAAATAATGTTGTTTTTTTTTATTTCGTTTTTTCTCAAAATTTTATTTTATTTTTACTTGTTTTAATTTAATTTCACTGAAGATACTGTATATATTCTTTAATATTGATTAATGTAATTTTTGGCCAGATGTAGTTTTAATTTTTTTGTTCATATCTGTTATTCATAAGGGACCTTGTCCCAGAATAAAGTTTACTTTCTATCTATCTATCTATCTATATATATATATATATATATACATATAGATAGGGTCTAAATTTTTTTTTTCTTGTAGCCCCTATCTAGCCATTTCTCGCATACGGGAGGGTCCGGTCCTATCAATGACTTATAAATTGAATCAGCAGCACAATTTTTAATTTTTTACTTAAATAAAAAATGTAATTCTATTAATCTTCCAACTTGTTCACATGTCATAATTAGAAAAACAGAATAGTTTTCAAAGTTTAAATGTTCAAATAAGAGGAACAATATCATAGAAAATTTCAAGTATATAACTAATTCATGTCCCCGTGTAGATAGTTTCATAATTGTGGGTTGATGAAGGCCAGAACTTCAGGTCGATACATCGGCAAATATTAAAATAAATATTATTATTTAATTTTGTCCTTTTTATTTTGACTGATCACCCCAACCATCCTTCTCTTCATTATTCACTACAGTCAACCATCAACCCACAATTATGAATGTAACTAATTAAAAATATAATTGTTACAATCTCATCCAGATTATTTTCTACCCTGTGAGGGATTAGAGAATATCCACTGATAATTAATACCAAAACATGGATTTACTATTGTCACTTAATGTACATATTCTTGAGCCTATTAAATTATGGAAGATAATTCTTTTTTTTTTTTTCTTGAGAGCAATACAGGAAAAACACCCTATTAATATAAGTGTTAAGAGTGGATTTTCTTGAAAATATTATTAACTTCCATTGTAACTTTTTATAAATAATTGATACTTGAGCTATTTTTAAACCTTATGAAATAAAAATCTAGTCTGATAACATTTTAGCAGATTAATATATGATAAGTTACATAAACAAAAAACAAACAATATGCATAACATTTTATATATATACATCTACATATACTTACTCGAATCTTCAGTAGTGCCTAGCCAAGCAATTACAATTCCACCAAGTTCAGAATCTGAAAATCTTAGAAGAAATGTTCCATTACTGCAATTAGCCAGCATCTCCTCAGCTTGTTTTTTTCTCACAAATCCAAGGATACATCTAAGAAAAAACACATAAGAATAGAGGGTGGGTTATTATATATTAATTTTAATGCAATGCAGGATAAAGGAAAATATTATAAAAATAATTTTATTTAACAGAAATGAGAGGCAATATCAATATGAGCAGAATCAGTGCAATAACATATTTTTCTTCTCAAACAATGTTTATGTTTCAAGAATCCCTTTGAAATAGCCACCAATTTGGAATTCCTAAATTCCAATGTCTATAATTGAGGAGACAAGTAACAAATACAGAAGAAACAAGAAAGATGGTATGAATAAGTAGTACCAAAGCTTTTTTTTTTTTTTGGACAAAATGTTACATTAATCTGGTTAATCATTAAAAATCTGGTGCTTGCAACTTTCACTTACCACTCTACTGTGAATAGAAATTATTTTCTGGTAATGTTGGGCAGGTATACAATTTTTTAAGTGGATTTTTAACGGAGCTACAGCTTAAAGCTTACAACTAATGAATCATTAAAACCATTAAAATAACAAAAACCCTATTAATTATATTAACAGTAGGCAATAAAAACCTGGTTACTACATATGTTTTCTCGTCACTCTCTATTACCTTCTATATTAGATATTGTTTTTTTTTTAAATTCTCTGCTTTCCAATAATATATTATATGTATATCTTCTGAATATTATTTCCAGGTATTCATTTTCAAACTAAATAAACATTTCCACTTTTTTCAATTGTCAAATTCTTTCAAGTTTGTATTTAGCATTTTTTTTGCAATTCCAAACAATAATACAGTGAATTATCTAAAATAAACCAAATTAAAGGCACTTTAGAGGAAGAAATATTGAACATTAGGCATTTAAACCTTGTAAAGTGAGATAATTGGGGATAAGAACTAAAGACCACTTAATTATAAACTGATACATAAAGTTTAATCAACATCGTTAGAGCCATTTTTGAGAAAATTGTAAAAATGTGTATAACCGTTGATATTCCATTTAGCCGATTTTAAGGAAAAAGTTATATCCCAGTCATATAGCTGTCTTAAATACTTAACATCAGTTTCGCACGACTTTTCGTTTTTGAGCTAGACTGTTAACATACACACACACAGATGCACAGACCATTTTGCGGGACTTGGTTATTTGGACTCAGGGGACCTTAAAACATTTATTTCTGGTGAAAACTCAGATTCGAAAATGTTTACAATCGCAATACTTTCTCTCACTATATAGGGTGTTTCAGGGTTAAGTGGCCAAACTGCAAAAATGAACAAAGAACCTCAAAACAAGAAAACAATTACCTCTGAAGGTATGTCCGCAAACACTTTGTTTAGGAGATATTCACACCTAAAGATTTGTGTAGTTATGAATTATTTACATTATATGAAATAAATAAAACCTATTTATTTGTTTTAACAACTTTATTAATTAAATGTAAACATTCACATTCATATTAAATGTTGTTCAAAGTGATTTTCTTGAGCATTAAGACAGACTCATCATCTTTCTTTAATAGCAGCAGTAGCAGAAGGGCACTGGATATGTTATTGTTCCACAAGATTCAATTATTCTTCTTCGTAAGGAATAAAGGTCATTGATCGGACTTGCATAGACTTTTTGTTGTCATCCCAAACAAAAAACTCCAGTAGTCTCAGGTCAGGAAGGCGTGCAGGCCAATCCATTGATTCAGATATGGGAAATGATTGAGCAAGTCCGGCCAATGAACTCAATTCCTTACAAAGAAAGATAATTGAATCTTATGAAACAATAAAACATATCCACATGCCGTCCAATAACACATGCCGTTCTGCCACTGCTGCTGTTGAAGAAAGATGACGAGTCTGTCTTAATGCTCAAGAAAATCACTTTGAACGACATTTAATATGAATGTTAATGTTTACATTTAATTAATAAAGTAGTTAGAACAAATAAATACGTTTTATTTATTTCATATAACATAAATAATTCATAACAATGAAAATCTTTAGGTGTGAATATCTCTTGTTTTGAAGTCATTAGTTCATTTTTGCAATTTGGCCATAGCCCTGAAACACACTGTATATTACATAAATAGGTAAGTGAAAGTAAAAAAAACAGATGTAAGCTTTCATAAAAACTTGATAATCTGAGAATAGACTGATTATTCACTGAAAAAAATAAAATGTCAAGTTTAATAAATGTTCACTTTTTTCATACTTCCTTTATTTGTAATTCTTCTTCTAAAGTAATGTGTTAAGTTATAGACCCGTAAACCAATGACTTTCTGTCCTTCAGTATCCTTTAACAACACCTCACTTATTCCTGTTGAACAAATCCCGTTACCTAGGATTCCATCTGGACAAACGTCTAACTTGGAATCCTTATACCAGACTGAAACGACAAGAAACAGCTCGACGTTTCCGACTACTTCAACACTTACTAGACAAACGCTCTAACCTTCCAATCAATTATAAAAGACTGATTTACATGACTATAATAAGGCCTATTTGGACTTACGGAGTTGAGCTATGGCACTCCACCAAACCTTCAAATTCCTCTCGCATAAAATCCTTACAATCCAAAATCCTTCGTAAAATCCTCAATGCTCCTTACTTTGTTACAAATAAAATTATCCATAATGACCTAAATGTTCCTTATGCACCAGATTTGGCCCAATCCAGATATCTGTCCTTCCATAATAAACTTCATAACCATCCCAACCCTCTTGTCTCTAACCTTGCTTCCTATTCGATTCCTGATAACCCTCCGAGACGTCTGAAAAGAAGATGGCCACATGATCTTCTAATATAGACATATTATTAGAGTACTACCAATGGGTAGTTTCTCAACATGTATTCCATGTCTTTATACCAATGTGCGAATTTACCAGATGTATTTTTTGTATACAGTAAATATTATGTAAAATGTGTAAATATCATATAAATAAATAAAAAAAAAAATATATATATATAAAGGTTATAGACCAGCTCAATAATAGATTTAGTAATCAATAGCTTAAAACTTAACAGTTCCTTAGGTAATTATTAAGAGCAAGTATTGAATTTTTATTAATACTTTAAACAAAAGGAAAAGAAAAAAATACAAACCCATCCATCCATGGACCTTTAAGATGTTCTCTAGTCAACTTCATCACAGCGTAAAACCATTCCCAGAAAGTGAAACTTCTTTCAGGAAGAGGTTCTTTACAGAATTGTGACCAACTTAAAAGCATAGAAGAACAATCAGGAACATTAGTTCTAGTAACATCGAGCCTAAAAAAGTCAAAATTAATCTTAGAATTCAAATATCAAGTGAAACATTGCATTGTTTTTCAATAAAGTTAAAGAGAATAATAAATAACTACTTTTATTGAGTGGTACATTCAAAGTAGTATTGTAAACAATATAATTGGAAATAAAAATTAAAATAATGACAGGCTATATACTTATCTAATGAATAAAATTAAATAATATATAAAAAAAAATTATTAAAGCAAGATTATAAATAAAAATTTTGAAGACAAATATATCACCATTAGCAATGGTTCACATACATCATACAGACCACATCGTGCCTGATCCTCACATAGAACACATTTCGGTTTATTCTCAATGAAAGCACACTAGGTCATAGCTCATCCAAGTATTGGTTTAATTTTGATTAATAAAGCAAATGTTTAGCAAGTTATGGTGTAGTCGAGTATATATTATAAAAAAAAATTAGCAGTTTTACTATCCACATGGGGTCTACAAGACTTCATTAGTCGGTTTACCTGGTTTTTCCTACCTTTAATAAATTTTCCTGATCCTCACCTCTTCTGAAATAAGGACATGAGAGAAAAAAAAAAATGTAATTCTATAAAAATCTTTTATTACAATATTCAAAAGATTTAATAGATTGACTATCAAGAAGATTGATTGATTGAAAATATAAGGTCAAACCAGACTTAAATATGGTTCAAATATCAGAACATTAATTTTTGATATTCAATGTTGAAAAACACTAATGTCCTGCAATAATTCTAACTTACCAGGAAAAGTTGAGGAGGGAAAAAATGGGGTTATAACAAAAGTAATTCCCATATTCAGTGTCTAGGACTAACACAGGGCTAAATAATTAATACAATACTGGCAAAGCAAAATTACTCACGAAAACTATGTAATTATAATGAGAGGTTAAAATAAAAAATATATCAACGATTTCAAATAAAAACTTAATTTCAGTTGATTTCACTGGTAAATGCTTGGATCAGGCAAAACATTTAAAATTATCAAAAGAATCCCTGACTTTCTGATGAAGCTCAGACTGTTTCCTGACTTTTCCGAAAAAAGAAAAATTAAATTCTCTGACTTTTTTCAGTCTTTAGTTACCCAAGTTTTCTGATAAATAAATAACTTTCTTATGCATTTTTTAAAATGTCTAATATGCTTATATATACGCACACACATCAATACATCAAAATTTAAAAAATAATTAAAATACCCAAGCACATAATTTATATACCTGAATGCCTTTTCAGCTAAAAATCTAAGACTCTCGTCAGATAGAGGTCTTCCAGTTTGTGAACAAAACTTAATGTTCAAAGCTTCAGCAACATATGTCCAGGGTACCTTGTCAGGGACAGCAAATGGAACACGACCAGATTCAGCAAAAGCATTGTCCCAGGTAACTGTAGCCCAGGCATGTGGCTCCTGGTTTCCATGCACGATAACAACAACAGGCAATGATAAAGTCCACACCTACAAAACAAAATTACTTTCTTAAAATTTCAGATAAATTCAAAATTTCTAAACCAATACCAGTCATAATCATAAGTATAGGATGGTTTAAGAAAACCAACCATATCTCATTCTCATTTAATACTATCAGCATTTTTTACATAATACAGGGCCCTAAATCATTCTTAAGTTTCGAGTGAATCTGTGTTAGAATTAATGTTATTTCCATTATGTTATTCAATTGCTATGAAAATTCATACTTAATGGTTTTTGAGATAGGAATAACAAATATCAACTTTGTTTATCCCTAATAAAATATTTTATCCACCTCTGCTACTTATGTCAATTGAAATAGTTTTGTATTGTATGGGTAAATATATTGTCCTGATATGGTCCAAAATATAAATATTGCATGTTATCAATGATAATCGCATCCAAATCTAATTTTTTAAAAAGAAAAGTTGATATTCATTATTAGCATCTTAACATTTTTAAAAGAAGTTTCTTAGAGAATTTGAGTTTGGAGAAAATCCTGAGTATTGAATACATAAGTGAAAAACAGGAATATATATATATATATATATATATATATATATATATATATATATATATATATACCCATAAAATTTAACATTTAAGGATTATAAAAGATGCTAAAAATGAATCTGATTTACTTTTTCCTAACAAAAATTTACTTGATCTACTTTACAGGAAATGTAAATTTTGGTTTTAATAATATCTATACAAATTATGGCTTGTTTAACATAATAGGCAATATATTTTTATTATTTTACATTTTGAAAAAATAAATAATAACAGTATATAATAATCTTGAGATCAATATAGAGTAAAATTAAAAAAAAAAAAATTTGGAAAAATGTAATTATATATATATGTATAAATTTTAATTTATCTTGTCTCCTATGATGTGTTAGTAAGAACTCTTGAACGTATAATATTTTTTGAACTAGTATCACAAAAAAAAGTTTGTTGAAATCTGTGATTCTACCAAAATATCCTCCCATTTTAGTTTGTTTCGCTACCTATGATTCATAAACAAAAAAATACGATCTTCATGACTTCTATTATTAATTTCTTCTTATAAACATTTTTTTTTTTTAAATTTAGAAATGGAGTTGAAATTTAAAATAATCAGGATGACCAATTATCAGAATATAGTGTTGATATTTTGTATTAGCTTTTCCATTGTTTTGGCCCAAGAAAGTGAGTTATCATCAGTGCTAGAAATTTCAAGTCATTATGATCACCAACAAACTTTAGTCAAAACGTGAACAAGCCTAATAAGTAATAGATACTGGATATGCTGATTATTCAACATCTTCATTTTTTTAAATTCTTACATCATTAAAGCCGAGCACGGAGAAGCTAAAACATAAACGTGGTTAATCAACTGTATCAGAGTAATATGTTATTTTAGGGTGGAAATTTTATCATGTTTCAATATATAAACAGCTAAATCAGTAATGAGCAATAATAATTAAATTTTGAAATCATTTTATGTTATATGACAACAATTATTAATTAACAAATTATCACCTTAAATAAAGAAAATGCAGACTTTTTAGACCAATTATTTTAAATTAATTTTTGAACAAATCGTCAATACAATAATGATGAAATCTGGCAAAATAATATAATCATTGTACATCTATTTCCATACCAAAAGATATTTAATGTTGTACTTACTTGAAAAACAAGTTCACCATTTCCGATTGAAAATTGTGAAGAGAAAAGTAAAGAAAATTTCTCATCCATGACTGACTCTGTACCCTTCTTTTCTGCCCTTTTGATTTTCTTCAGTTGCATATTTCTGTTAATTAAAAATAATGCAGAGTTTAATCGAGGAAAACAAAAAATATACCATAATTAGTAAAATTAAAATACAAACCTAAAGCTTACAGCAAGTTGCCTAGTAGCAGTGTGGTATTCCATAGTTCCTGTGTTATTTAGTATTTCACCACTGGCTTCCCCTTTTGATACCTTCTCATTTTTTAAAAGAGCATTAGCTTGGGCTTCACTGATAATGGTTACCTTAACCTGAGGAGGAGTCATGTATACATTCAGTTTTCCACCAACCAAAAGTCTGACAGTAGCTGTAAACCTCGTGTTTGTCTTCATGACTTGGGGTGGTTGTTTCTCTATTACAAATGTACTGAAATAAATTAATTAGTTTAGTTACACTTTAATATATCTTCTAAATCAAAATTTACACACACAAATACAGATGATGGCCATATATTGTGAAATACTTGTAAAAGTTTAACAAATCATGCCCCCCAAATTAGTTGATAGCTCTAATAATAAAACAGAATGGACATGGCCACAGTGTATAGATAATCCACAGTTTTATATTACATCATTATACAAATAGAAAAACACAAAACGGTACAGCCCCTTTTACTCCTCTATTATTCAACCGATTTTCTTCCTTCTTTTTTTGTTTGATAGCTATTGACGAGCTTTAGTGTTATCAATAAATAAAAATATGAAATAGTTTGTAAATAAATATATAAATGGTAATTTTTTAAGAAATTTTTTTTCAGAGATGGATATAAACTCAGTTGAAATTGCTAATTTATTTTTACTTTCTTAATCATAATATTAATTTATTGTGATAATAACACACATAAATTAAAATGGAAATTAAATATTTTGGATGAGTCTATTCTGTATTACTTACGAATAATTTTAGGTAGTTTAAGCTCGATTTTAAATTTTGTTTATATTAATAAATGAGGATTTTTGAATTGTGATTTACTCTTTATTTACTGAATTTATTTTTAATTTAATTATGTTTTCCTCAAATTTTTAACGGCTATGGTCGAATTTCGACCACTGGTCGAACACTAGTATTGATAAATAGATAATCTTTAATATCATCTATCCACAATAACCAAACCTTTTGCCAATTTTTTTTTTTTTTTTTTTTGCTTACATGATATGCCTGCAATACTTTTCCATAATACTTATAATATCTTAATTAAATAAATTAATACAAAATAATAAAATAACTATTTAAACAATAAATACTCTAATTATTGTATCTTATGTTTCATAAATATAGTAAGAGATAGCTTCATTATGATTGAAACTATTTTTGAAGTTACCCAGTTACAAAAATACCAAAATTATGGTATGCCTAGACAACATTATCAGAGGTCTCTAAACTATGGCCTGTGGGGCGCATCCCACAAGTAACTTCAATCCGGCCTGCGAGGTTTCTTAGATTAGATGGTAAAACTTAAAATATGAAATTTAGCAGATTATTTACATATGAAGCTATTAGAACATTTATTTATTTTTGTTTTACATTCACTTATCTATATTTCAAATATATACTAAAGGAAAGTTTTGCGATCATGAACATTTTCGAATCTCAGTTTTCAACGAAAATACATGTCTTGAGGTCCACTGAGTCCAAATAACCAATTTCCGCAAACTGGTCTGTGTATCTGTATGTGAACAGTCCAGCTCAAAAACAAAAAGTCGTACAAAATTGATATTACGTATTCAACATAGGTATATGACTGGAATGTTACAGCAATTTTTTTTCCTTAAAATTGGCTAAATGGAAGTGCCACTTTATATGAATGCTGTAACACATTTTTACAATTTTCTCAAAAACGGCTCTAACGATTTTGATTAAACACGGTGTATCACTGTATAATTAAGTAGTCTTTAATATCATTTAGTTATTATTCCCATTGATATCACTTTACAGGGTTTAATGACTAATGTTCAACACTTCTTCCTCTAAAGTACCTTTAATTTGGTTTATTTTAAATAATTAACTATCTCTTATTGTTAGGAGGTACGAAAAAATGCTAAATACAACTTTTGAAAGAGTTTAATAATTGAAAAATGGAGGAAAAAAGGGAAATGTTTATTTAGGCCAAAAAAAAATCTCCGGAAATAATAGTCAGAAGTTATACCTATAATATATCATTGGAAAGCAGAGAATTTTAGAAAAACCAATATCTCATATAGAAAAGTCATAGAAGGTAATGCACAGTGATGAAATTTTTTTTACATTTGTGTACAATTAAGCAGTTTTAAATAAAATGTAGGTTTTATTCCGATTGATTTTCTCTAGCAGGGCTTAAATAAAATAGCTAATTTTCAATATTAGCTTCCCCTAAAGTACCTTTAATTTTCTATATTCAAAAAAATTGACCATTTCACATTGACCTATAATATCAAAGATAGTTAAATATAAAATATGAAAGACTTTGATAATTAACTAAAGGAGAAATAAGAGATTGTAACGGAGAATAATTGTAATTGAGGAACCAAAGGAATACGAGCGCCTGAGCTTATGCGAAAGATTAGAACAGGCTTCCATAAGTAACATGAGCTTAATGTAATATAGACTCCGACAACTCAATATACATATGCGGTTATCATAAATGCTATGCTATTGTTGGTATTATTTAATATTTAATTGTCTTCTAGATTAGTGTTATAAATATTAAAATTTGTATATATAAGGGTACTTATACAAATAAAAATATCCACAATGAAATATAAATAAATAGAGCATTGATAATTTCTTACTTTCACTTCCCCTTTGTCTGAAAATACTTATTTCTAATACTTAGCGAAAGTAGTGTGATGCACGCACCACACTAGGTTTTTCCAGTTCGAAAGCTCATTTTACAGCTGATGTATTATTTATCCAAAATTTTTTATTTTCATTACAAGCCATGGCCTGTGGGACTGGGTTGAGGTCTCAATACGGCCCACAAAATTTAGTTGAGATCTCAATATGGTCCGCAGGTCAAAATGTTTGGAGAACCATGCTCTAAGAGACCTGATGGTGCTACATGATCGCCACTGCATAATAAGTAAACATTGGTTAAATTTGAAAGTTAATTGATGCTAATCAGCAGATTCTTCTCATAGGATGAAGCATATAATATGAAACGAGAGAGCATATCATTCATTTTAGGCTTTATAATGAAAAGAGTTCATACATTCTGTTAAAAACTGTAACTTAACTCTGAGAAATAATTAGTGAATTGATTCTTTTCAAGTTTACAAGGGCTATTAGTTTGTTATTCAATGCTATACTGAACACACAGCTTATACTTGGAATAAATAATGGGTCTTAAGACCGGGGTAATCCCTAACAATAAAAAGGCAATCAAAACCCTGCAGAGGACTTATTAAAAACTGAAAGGAGATGAAAATGAGAGTTCAATTTTAAACCATTCAATGTTAACTTACCTTGTGACTAAGCTGGAGAGAAGCTGAGTAATTTGAGCATTTAACTGCGGCAAGATGTCCTGAACTCCTTGATTGTCCAAAGGCAACTTAGCCTTAAGCCTTTCAGCTTCTTTTATCTGGTGTCGATTAAGCCAGTTGATTTCAGCTAAATTTTCACACCTAAAATTTAAAACATTTATAATTATCAAAATTTAAATAAGCTAATAAATCATTAATTGGATATGGACAAAGTAGAAGTTAATTTCCCATTTATAAATAAAAGAAAGAAGCTTTACAGAACACAGGAAATGGACTAGGCAGGAATGGATACAAATTCTGTTATCTCTAAAAATTTAAGTCTTAGCAGACTGAGATGGGATGAAGGACAGTTGGCAACAATAAATGAAGACAAAATCCGATTACAGTAAACAATAAGTGAAATAATAAAAAATGGCAGACCTAAGCTGTGAAGGAGTGATGACTGATTCTACATAAATGAAAGCATTTCCTTGATGTAGAAAATTAGAAAGAGGCAACCTTGGATAGAGATCGCAGATGAAAGAGAATTATAAGTCTTGATTCAACAAAGTATAACTATTAATTTTAGAATTTTTTTTTTCTCGAATGTCTTTAGAGACCATGTAGATCATTGTCCATACGATGTGGTCTTACAGATCTATTTTGGTTGTGAGAGCTGTCATTCAACCTCATTGGATCATGATAGCCTTGGTGCAGCAGCAGGCCATCCACAGCAGATCTCTTTGCAGCCAATCTGGCAGTATTTTATGCAGCAACAAGGATATTGACAAACGCATCTGGATCCTGGAATAAAGTGTCAATAGTTCATATCTAAGAGGGGTATTGACATCTTGGAAAACTACATCATGATTCTCAATTATAAACGCAGGACAGAGTCATCACTCCTTTGCCCGGTAGGTATGAGTTGCCAGATGGGTTTTCCAGAGGGGAGGGTAAGAGAAATCAATCTTGGGTAGTGTAGCTTTCCCTGGAGGATGGTCACCTATTCAAATACTTACCACACTAGATGTTTAATTTTGCTTATCTGTTGCAAGTGGCTTTGTCAGCTTGGTCGTCCTGATCAACTAATTTCAGACTAAGATATTAATAATGAGGAATAGTATTTCAAGGAGAAATAAGACAACTTTTGCACACACTAATTGTTTTAGTAATATCAAGTTTACAAAAGAACTCACCAATCTTGTATGGTATCCAAATTGTTATTAAATTTTGCACCATTTCCAGCCAATTGCTGCTCTCGTTTCCACTTAATAAGTTCTTCATCTAAGATTCTGCTTTGTACGATAGCAATCAGACTCAATGTTTGCTTCAGTTTTTCAGACAAATTAATTCTATTTTGCATCAATGTAGTCACCTGAAAAAATAATTCACATATTTTTGTAAATAACAGATAAAGAAATAATATTCTAGAGTACTGGACATTAACAATTCCTCCACACACAAGCAAAAACTAGAAAACATAAATTAAAATGGGTTTTGAGAGAGTATCAAAGATGTTTAAAATGGTTAATAAATATAAAGGACTCATTTCGATAGTTTTTATTAGGTTATTATTGGAAAATTTTCAAACCATACAGCCTTGTGTCTCCAGAATGCAGGCAAAGAAAAACCTATCAATGTTTCGCCAATTCAGGCATTATCAGGACAGAAAAAAATCTGGTGCATGCAACACAACTTTCACTTACCGATTTACTTTAAATAGAAATTACTTTCTGGCAATGCTGGGCTATTATAAAATTTTTTGAAGTGCATTTTAAAAGGAGCTAAAGCTTAAAGATAACAAGTCATTCAGACCTTTATAATTACAAGATGTCTATTTAATATAACGATGACAGGCAATAAAAATCTAGTCACTCCATCTGCTTTTATAAACCACACAACTTTCTTTGCTTTTATAAACCACAGAATGACTAACTCCAATTTCAACATTTTTGAGTGATGTCATTTTAGTGATATTTTTAGTTGAAAAAGTTATTTATGCAGACAATGAGTAAGTTGATTCCAGAGATGGTGATTGCAGTGTTGAAATATAGAACTGAGAATATAGGTATAAATTTAGGTACTTATTTCTTATGAAAGATGTTCTTAGGAAAGACACTTTATTAAATATCTGTAGAAAAAAGATTTTTTTAGTCCCAACAATTAAAAAAATATATTTTAAATTTATCCAAATTTTCGCCTCTTCAGGAAAAAACCTAGAGACCATATCTTTCCTCCTAATTGTCCGATTTTAACGATTTTTATTTTTTTTTTTTTTTAGGAAATTCCGTAAACTTTTATAAAACCATCCCCACAATATCCCCAAAAAAGTGTATACTTTTTGAGTTATTCGAAATTTAATTTTAACATCCCTCATAACTTTTTTCCCAGCTTCTTTTTGTGTTATAAATTTTTGTAAAGTAAGTTATATAAATAAATTTAAAGGGTATCGAGAAAATGACTAGCGAAGTTTCATTGAAATTGGTACATTTGTTTAGGCGCTACAGTCTATAGCAAGGCAGGTTTTTCTGCATTTTTATTTTCTTTCTCTTTTCTTAACTTATCAAATTCTTTCAAAAGTTATATGTAGCATTTTTTCGTAACTCTGAATAATGCAAAATGGTTAACTTTTTAAAATAAACCATATTAAAGGTACTTTAGAGGAAGACATATATGAACATTGGGCATTTATGCTCTGTAAAGTGACATTAATGGGGATAAGACCTAAATGATATTAAAGACCACTTAATTATACAATGATACACCGAGTTTGATCAAAATTGTTAGAGCCGTTTTTGAGAAAATTGTAAAAATGTGTTTCAGCGTTCATATAAAGTGGCACTTCCGTTAAGCCGATTTTAAGGAAAAAAATTGCTGTAACATCGGGCCCATATACAAACGTTAAATACTTCAGTTTCGTACTACACTTAACATCAGTTTCGTACTACTTTTCGTTTACAAGCTAGACTATTCACACACATGCGCGCGCGCGCATGCACAGACCATTTTGCGACACTTGGTTGTTTGAACATATATATTATTTGAAGTAAAAACAGCTAATCGAACATCATTCCATGAAATCCAATCGGACACTTGTGAGTATGATGACTGAATTGGTGAAATATTGATGGGTTTTTCTTTGGCTGTATTTTGGAGACATAAGGCTGTATGATTTGGAATTATTCAAATGATAACTCAACATTTATGAGATCTAAACTTCTCTGACGATAATGCATATCAAGATTACAACATTCCATTCAGCACGTGGGAACTCCAATCAATACTCCAAACTGTCAAAGGATCTTCACCAGGACCAGATAATGTACACTACTCCATGATACAACATCTTCCGAAAAATACACTGAACTGGCTTTTAAATTTTTACAATCATATTTGGCTTAGCGGTAACTTCCCTAGCACCTGGAACGACTCTATAGTTGTCCCAATATTGAAGGGTAGTCAAGATAAACGTCATCCATCCAGCTACCGACCAATATTTTTAACCAGCTGTCTATGCAAAGTAATGGAACGAATGGTAAACAAGAGACTCACATGGATCCTAGAAAAATATCATCTCATCCAAAACTTTCAATGTGGTTTTCGCAAAGGCAGATCAACTGTAGACCACCTGGTTCAAATGGAAGCCGAATTACAGTATGCATTCATCCAAGAGGAGCAAGCTATTGCAGTTTACTTCGATATGAAAAAAACCTTCAATAAAACTGACAAATTTGCTATCCTAAAAACAAAATACACTCGCCAGGATTCAGAGGTAACTTACCAAAATTTATTCAAGGATTCCTTTCTAGTCGCCGCTTTCGCGTCCATATAGGGAAACTGTTATCCAAGCAATGTAGACAAGTGAGTGGAGTACCACAAGGATGCGTTTTAAGTACAACACTTTTCGCACTGGCGGTTAGTGACTTGGGAAAAAATCTTCCACACGGTATCAAAGTAATGCTCTTTGTCGATGATCTTTAGAAGACAGAAACTTGCAATAAACTATATTACTAAATTATACCCGCAAACTTCACACCCCTCCCATAAATATGTTTTTCAATCTAAATTCTCAAAAAGATTTAAAGAAAAAAGGAATACCACATTACCATTGGCAGAAAGAATGTCTCTTATTATAAATAAACTAAAACAAATAACATTACATGAAATAGAAAAAGAAACAGCCCCTTGGACCTATATACAACCTAAATTAAATCTCCAACTCACCCAATTCACCAAAGATACTACATTACCTGCAGATTACAAAGAAAAATTCCAAAAAATAATCATCACGTTACCTGAACATCTTCTAATATTCACCGACGGATCCAAATCAGATACATCAACTGCTTCAGCCTATGTCACTCCTGATACTACCTACAAATATAAATTACACCATCTTTGTAGTGTTTACACAGCAGAGATTAACGCCGTAGCAATGAGTCTCCCATACGTCATGAAGAAGCCAGTTGCAAATGTGGTTGTTGTATCGGATTCCCTAAGTACTCTGAAAGCTATGAATAACATGTATCCAGACCATCCAGGGATACACTGCATTCTAAGTCTTATAAAAATGCTTCATGGAGTTGGAACAACGGCACATTTTATCTGGTCGCCTGGCCATATAGGAATTAAAGGAAATGAAATGGCTGATAGAGCAGCAAAGGAAGCTCTTACTCTTCCAGGCCGCGGTAAAGTTTTTTTGACACCATCTGAACTTGCACGACCTCTGAGAGAAACCATATTCCAAGAATGGCAAAGACAGTGGGACAACAGTGCACCTAGCAAATTAAAAACAATAAAGAAAGAGGTGCAACCGTGGACCAGCTCCAGACGCAGCAGTCGTAGAGAAGAGGTCATCCTCACGCGGCTGAGGATCGGACATACTCCACGATGTTAAAAGTGTAACCAATCACTAACTATAAAACATATTTTGGAAGAATGCCCTTTTTACACCGCAAGATTAAAAGATTTTGGAATACCCCAGAATATATCAGCATCCCTGGGAAATCAAGAAGAAATAGTTACCAAAGTCATCAAGTTTATGGATTGTGAAAGACTTAAAAAACACATTTGACAGGCTTTTTTTTATTTATTAATTTCCTTTTTATCTATTTACTTTTATTATATTTTCTCTCTTTTTTTTTTTTTTTTTTTTTTTTTTATTTATTGATTCTACTGCTATTTTTTAAAGTTTATTTATTTACACATTTTTTATACATCTTATTACCTATAAATGCCTATTATTATCCTTATTTATTTATTTTATTCTATCAATCCATTTCTTTATTTATTTTATTGTATTTTATTTATTTATTTTTTTTATTATTTTTTTTTTTTTTGTACCAATCATCCAAATAGTATTAAATGATGTTATTTAGTTGATCGGGCGCTTATGACCTGGATGTTTTGCGCCTAGACATCGAAACAAACAAACAAACAAATCAACATTTATGTTCTGGGCTTTCGGATATTGTGTTACTAATATATAACAAGTTTTTATTGTACAAAGCTACCTATTTAATTCAAATATCTTTATCAACCAATGACCCTGTACTTATAAAAACTCAGTATTTATAGTATCATAGTACTAATCGTTACCAGAGTCCAAATTTTTATGCAACTGCATATTTTATGAAGAGCAAACGAAAAAACATAACACAGATCTCATACCATCAAATTTATTTATTTAATTTATCAATGGAAAATTATCGTTAAAGAAGAATAACAATTTTTATTGGTACTAAATAAAACATAAATCTGATTTTTAATTAACAAAGTTATAATTAAAGACATTACCTGTTGGCTAAGAGTTTGTTCAAGTACTTCTTTTTGTCGCCTCAATTTTTTATCAGTTTCAATAGTTTGAGTTGTCTGCTGCTGATTTTGCATATGGGTTAAGTGAGCTAAAAATGAAAGATGATTAACTTGATATTATAGACATAATGAGAAACAAAAAACAAAGTAGTAATAACTAGATAATTTCTAATTAGGTAAGGGATATTCAAGTCAAACATAAATTTAAAAATGTTGAAATTTTTGAGAATTACAACATTGAGACATTATTGATTACTTGAAAGATGAAGTAAATGTATAAATATAAAGCGGAATAACAATACTATTAATGAAATAAAGAAAATGATACTATGTAGAAGTGATTATTTAATTATATTATATCTCCCATAAACCGTCGCTTTCATTTCCCCATTTTAAAATAAATCAACTATTCAAAGAAATACTTATGTTCCTATGTCCACAGACTGGTTCACCAAATCCACTTACTCCAGCAGACTCCTTAATTATTTACATTCTTTCAGATAATATATTGCTATGTCTTAAATATAGAAAATAATATTTTAAAAATTACATTAGGTGCCGATATCAAAGACACAGTCAAGGTGGAAAGTGGAAGGTTGCCTGGGAATCTTAGTTCAAGTCTGGAGTAACTACACTAGGTAATCTCCTACATGGCCCCTTTAGGGTATGGCCAGCTTAAATAATTTTACACCACTGAGCACTGAAGGTATTCAAGTCACTTGAATAACTTCTGTGCCCGAAACACGTCCTGATGATTACCCACATCCTCATGTTTGGGTTGAAATGTTGGCACTAATAAAATCTTTATAATAACTGCCTCCTGAATATTAATCACCCATCATATGTAGAACAGTCGACTAACTTCCTTCAATAATGTTAAGTTTAAATTCCTTCATATTATTTGACTATACCAATTTAACTACACAGTATTACCATTATTACTGTCTATTATTTTCTTGGTATTTATATGTCATCTGGTCTTTGCTTAGTTCTGGAGAAGGACTGAAACTTAGGCTGAAATGAAAGCAGAAAGAAAATAAATATAATTTACTTATGTCAACTTTCATTGAACGCAATCACCAACCAACTTCTCTTTAACAATATCTTACCATTAGTAATTTTATTTACTTTTTAACATTATCTTTCATTGATTATATTTATTTTAGATATTTCTGTCAAAACTTCATTAAATGCCCTTACCCTCACTCTTCTGTATATCTTCTACAAAAATATCATCCTTATCTTTATCAACATGACTCTTGTAACTATTTAGTTGACAGCTCTTTATCTTAATATTTCAGATGAGCATCTTCTTCCATTTATTATTTTTTTATATATTATTTCTCAAATATATATCCCTTTTCGAGCTCTCAGGAGTGATAAATTTTGACCAATGAGGTATCAATAGAAAGGGAATATCATGTAGAATGCATGTATCATAATTTTGATTCCTAATTTTATAGCAGGACCTAAATAAAAGTGAATATAAAAGTAGAAGATTTCAAACCATATGATTGTACCATCTCAATGAATTGAGACTTTACAAATGAATTCATAATTTGTGAATAGCTCGAAAAGTATGCAATTTTTGGTACATTATACATATGAGTATTTGAAAGCTTATTAAATTCCCTACAAAAGGTAACAAAAATTAATCGAAATCGGACAATTTTTGGCGCTAAGTTATAGCATTCTGAAAATTTAGTATTTGTTGTGCAGCAAAGAATCTGTTGTGTATGGGAATTTAAGATTTTGGGAATTGACCCTTTTTTTCCGGGGTACAGTATGTAATGCATCAATTATTAATATTTTTTTTAATTTCAAAACATTTTATTCTTTTTAATAAATAAAAGTATTTATTTTTATAAATATGTCTTCCTCAAAACACTTCTTGGAATGTTTATCAATGTGCTTCAATTACTTTAGCTTTTTCTTTTAGATCTTTATTGTCAAAGTTTATTATTTTAAAGGAAGGAGATGGCCCGGGGTGGCGGTCATAAATAGGTTAAATAGTGGTAAATCTATTTTATTGAAAGCCAACGTTTCGACCCGACTTCAGTTCTAAGTGAAACTCCTAGCTGAACACACCTCCCTGAAGAAGACCTGCAAACTCAGGTCGAAATGTCAGCTTTCAATAAAATAGTTTTACCACTATTTAGCCTATTTATGACCGCCACCCCAGACCATCTACTTCCTTTATAATGCAACGGCCAACTATTAAATATTCAATTTATTACTTTAAAAATAAACCATCGATTATTTCTTTGAATGATAAAGTAACGAACATACTGAATACATTATTTCTCCCAGAGAATTTAAACCTTTTATCATTTGCCGTCATCAGATGTATAAAGCAATATTCAGAAGCTTATTTATTTTTTTAACGATAAACTAATTTACATCCTGATTGCATTAACTATTTCTTCCTGAGAATTTGAGCCTTTTGTTGTTTGCCGTCATCAGATGATTAAAGCAAATATTTAAATTATAAGTTTAAGCAAACGCAATGGTTAAACCATGGCAGTTTTTCTTTTTTTTTTTTTTTAACTTTTATTGAGTATTAATACAGTCTGCCACACTGAAGGGCATTGGTACTAGAGCTATAGTATTCATTCACACAATATGTACATAAGAAAGGGGGAAAAAAAAGTATATATACATATATATATATATATATATATATATATATATATATATATATATATATATATATATATAAATAAAAAGGTAAAGTAATATACAAGATAATTAAAACAACAGACCAGCCGAGTAATAACAACACAAATAAAAACACATTCACACCTATGTACAATATTTACATTGGCCCAGGGGACTCCGAATCAAGCTTTGTCCCCCAACTGTGGAAGCCAAAGCAGGACTCCAGAAGATCCCAGTGCTTCTCTCCCAGTCGCGTCACTGGTATAGTAAGCCAGTGGAGGCTGATGGAGGGCACTAGAGCAACAGACGCTCAGGACATGAGTGAAGAATCTGGCCAGTGCCAGTACTCCAATATATACATTTTTACAAAAGGACGCAGGGCCTCTGCCGTTTTAACCTCCGAGGAGGATTGTAGGGATGACTGGAGGTAGATAGAGACTGTGCTACAGGATTAGGATGATGAGTGAGATTCTGGTGAAATTTGGAAAATTTGTCTGGGATTAGGTCAAGTATAAATGGGAGACTAAGGTCATTGTGTAGGGTTTTATTGGTTATATAAAAGGGAGCATCGACTATTGTTCGGAGAACTTTAGACTAGAAGGATTGAATGCGTTTGATGTTGGAAAGTTTTGCTGTCCCCCACAGTTCGAGTCCATAGGTCCAGATAGGTTTCAGGATTGTCTTGTAGATTAATAGTTTGTTCTCAACTGAAAGTTGAGATTTTTTATTGATTAGTCTATATAGTTGGCCATATCGTCGGTTAAGCTGTTGTCTTTTAAGTCTGGTATGTGGGTTCCATGTTAGTCTCTTGTCTAAAAGGAAGCCAAGGTACCGAACTGTGTCGGAGAGGGGAAGTGGTATGGAGTTGAAATAAACTGGTGGACACGACTTGTGCCGAAGGGTGAAAATGGTGTGTTTGGATTTAGATTCATGTACATGTACATAAGAGAGAGGTGACTTTGTAGGTTAAAGGATGCTGTTTCGGGATCTGAATTAGAAGATAGGATGGCCGTGTCATCAGCGAATGTTGCCAGGAGAGTTTCAAGATGAGTAGGAATATCAGCGGTAAATAGAATATAAAGGATAGGACCCAAGACGCTCCCTTGAGGAACTCCTGCCTGAATTGAATAACACTTGGAAAAATCAGTTCCACAGCGTACTTGAAAGGAGCGAGATAGGATCAAAGTACCAGATATAAGGACTGAGGTAGATAAGTTTTAAGCTTGAAGAGCAATCCGGTGTGTCATACCCGGTCAAATGCTTGCGCAATGTCCAGAAATGCACCCGAGCAATATTGCTTACTTTCTAGGGCTGAGGATATATGGTCAACAACTCGGAGGCCTTGTTGGACAGTGGAATGTTGGGAACGAAATCCGAATTGGTGGGTACTTCGTAGGATACAATTGTATATATAAGTGAGGAATATGATTACTTTGGATGGAAGTTGCCGAAGGATATGCAGGATTAGAAGGTCGTATCCAGGAGATTTACGGGCAGATAGTTTTTGTAAATGATGTTTGATCTCAGAAGGATTAACTGCTTTTGGTGGTAAGGAGAGTGGAATGGGTGAAGAGAGGAATTCTTTTACTATTGCAGTGTGGGTAGGATGGGATTCCGGATGAGGAGTGAATGTACAGGAGAGGTGTTTGGCGAATTCCTCAGCTGTCTTCATCTGACGCCGCCCAGGACCCATAACTTCGTTGGAGGGGATGGGAGACATGGTGGGATTTTAGGATTTTTTTGGTGATATTCCAAAGGGAATTATCATGAGTGGAAAGAGATGTAAGGTAGGAGTTAAAGGATTGGGATCTGAAGTAGGATAATTCCTGCTTCAGTTGCTTACAGTAATAATTATAGGAACGGTGATCAGCTGGATGTCTGGTGCTTTGCTATAATGATCTGGCACGGTGTTTGATATGGATTAGGTCAAGGAGATGTTGGGGTAAGTTATTTTTTTAAAGGATTTTCGGGGAGTGATTTGGGGAGGAAGCAGTCCAGACTGCTTGTTGAATCATGGTGGTAAAGGAATGTACGGCATTTTCAAAGTCTTCTGCGGTTTTCAGGGTTATTCTGAGGTCAATTTGATCGGAAAGGATTTGTTGAAAGAATTTCCAGTTAGTTGAATGGACCTCTGATGAAGGATGGTGGGGAGAGTTTAGGAATAGGAGCTAGTGATACTTGGAGTATTAGAGGACTGTGGTCTGAGGAAAGGTCATCAAGACGGGTAAGAGAATGATTGAGGGGACCTAAACCACTGTGGATGAAGAAATCAAGGATATCAGGATTGCGGTTACGATCAGTGGGCCAGTAGGTAGGTGAGTTAGGAGGAAGGAGGCAGAAACGTTGGGAATTGAGTGCAGACAGCAATGTTCTACCACGAGAGTTCGTGGTTCTTGATCCCCACTGTTGATGCTTTGAATTTAAATCTGCACCCAGGATGAAATGATGCCCTAAGGAATTGAGGAGGGAACTAAATTGGACATTGGAGATGGATTGGTTAGGAGGGCAATATGCTGATGCAACGGTAATAGGAAAGGAGAAGGTTTTGATTATGATAGCAGTGGATTGTAGGAAATCGTGGCTTGGTGTTGGGAGTAGGTGATGCGAGAGAGATTGGTGTACAAGGACAGCAGTACCGGCATGTGCCCTACCGCCAGTACAATATGTTAAGTACTGTGGGATTTTTAAACTCTGTTTTTTGGTCAGTCGAGTTTCAGTAATGAGGGCTACATCAACGTTCTTGTCTAGTAGTAGAGCTGTTAGTTCGTCAGTGTGGTTTCTAACACCATTCGCATTCCAAAGGAGAATGGATAAGGGTTTGATGGGATTCATTTAAGGATTTTTTAAAGGAGGAATGAGATGAGATACAAGATTTGTGAGGAGTGATATCAGTGGGGTAACAAGGGATTTGAAGTCAGTAAGGAAAGATGCCAACAGACTGGTAAGATCTGTGGCATGTGATAGAGGAGGAATATGAGGAATTTGATGTTGATGAGAGTTTTGTTCATTAGGAGGGACAGGATGTTGACATTGGAATTGGGGTCGCTGTTGCGGCAGGGCCTCACATTTGTCAGTCTGGTTTCTATCCCCAAGTAACTGAGAGAAGGAAACTTTTGGGTCCACTTCTTTGTGTGATATTCTTCTTTGTTTCGAGACTTGTAGAATTGGTTTTTCATATTTCTGTAGATCTCACACCCTTTATAGTTGGCAGGATGTCCTTCCAGACATAGAGCACATACTGCGGGTTCTGATTTCAATTTTGTGCATTCGCCAGACTTGTGTCTGTCCGCATTTCACGCATCTTGGTATATGATGGCAGTAAGCCTTGGTGTGGCCATATGCCTGACAGTTATGGCACTGGACAATTTCTCTCTTAGTGCAAGGTTTTTCAACCTTAACACTTGTGTAATACAATCTTTTAATTTCGTATATTTTATCTACTCCTGCAGAGCGTTCCAAGTCAACAAAAAATAGAGGTAATGGAATCTTTCTATTTTCCCCTGAGTCATCTCTGTTGTCCTTCATTACATTGGTGACCTGTCTTATTTTAAATCCCATAGCCGTATGTTCGTCTTGTATCGCTTCAACTGGTGTAGAGTGGTGTAAGTTACGGATCACTACTCTCAGAGAGCGCTCTTGCCTGAGCTGGTATGTGTGAAAATCTGCCTTTGTATCGGTCAGATATTGAACTATTTGTCGATAAGCATCAGCTATGCTTGGGGATATTTTAGTATTGCTAGTACGACTTAAGCAGGTGTAGCTCCCGGCAATTGTTATTTTATTTAGCTGTATACACAATAACGAAAAGTTTTTTATATTTTTAACAAAAATCGGAGGAGGTCGAGGATCTTTAGGAATGGGTATAGATTCCATAGACTCTTTTTCATTTTGAAGAATTTCAAAAGGATTAGGAGTAAAAAAAGGTGATTCAGTATCTTGAGAAGTACCAGGCGGAGATTGAATGACTTCTGTTGTTACCGGGGTAGCTGGAGTCGCAGGTGACGTCATTCTTTTCGCTCGACGACTTTTTTGTTTCTCAGGAGACGAGTGTGGTGTGGATCCGACAGATTGACAACGCTTAGGTGCATTTTTAGACGACATGACCTGATGAAAATATCGCATAAATGAAGGATCATATATATAAAAAAATAATAATAATAATAATAAATAAAACAAAAAAAAAAGATCGTCTGCTTGAACTTGACCTTCAATTAATAAACGGCGTGCAGGCCTAGAGCAACTGCACCGCTGAGGAGCAGCAGCCCAACTGACCTGTTGATATCTAACTACATGGCACTATGGCGAGATAAGGAAGTTATCTACCTTAACTTCTATTCACTGGTCACAACAGTACACAATAAATAACAACTGTGCTTACAGTAGAATTAGTTCATGTTTTGGTCTAGGTGATTAACTGACGTCTTGACACTGTTTTAATTAAAAGTAACACTATTTTTCTGACGAAAAATAAATATTTTTAAGAGCTGAAGTAAGGGTCGACTGATACAATCTAGAACATGTGCAGAACTGATGGCAGATTGTAAATCATATTTATAACTGATTGTTTACTAAATATATGTATACATTAAACCTTTGCGTATCAAAGATTATTGAATCGAAGTTGTGCTGAGCCCTGAGTTGAGCTGAGAATATATTAAAATCAGATAAAATATTAGATTTGTGCGTATTCGCATGGTGAGCTAGTTTTATTAATAAATAACATTTAACTCTCATCACACTTTTTTTCATCATTTTATCTATTTCCTTATACTTCCAAATACTTTATACTTTCATTATAATTCTTTGTATGTTCAGTTTTTCTCATGTTATCTATTGTTTTGTTTTAGAAGTTTTAATTTCTGTCCTGTCAGCAGTTTTTGTTTAATACTCCTACAATATCAACTTAGTAGTATACTGTCAATATTTTAAAATGCATGCAGGAATCAAATCAAACTAATTTCAGTCCTGTATTGAAATGAGAGAAATAAAAAAATAAAGGTTTTCAGTTGTATCTCTAAATTCCTTACTTTTTGGTCTGTGTCCCTTTGTTTTGTATAGGTGATATTTCATTTAAAACTAATAAATAAAAATAATATTTTACCATTGATTTTGGTGCATTCGTGATATTTTAAAGCGAAATCCTCTTGATCTTGTTCCAGTTTTCTCAAATCTTCACCAGTGCTATGAGTTCTGATTCTCATTTCCTCTAAACGCTGAGATATCTCGGCAGCAACAATATTCATTCCGCCACCAAGGTCTACTCCAGCCTATTAATTTAATTTAATATAAAAGTAGACAAACAGTAACTTTATATTATAAATATATACATAAATGAGGAAATTAAATAGCAAAATGGCAATGTAACATCTTTTAATTTTTTCAATTAGATATTTTTATATTGACAATTGGGGAATGTTTTCCCCATCATCAGAACTTTTTAAAAAATCTTTAGGAATTTCGAAGTATGATTTTTTTTTTTCTTTTTTGTGCAAATATCTAATAGAAATAACTGCGCCTGTGGAGTTAGTTAACTAGACTTCATTGACGGTCCCAAGCCCGGATAAAGCAGGAGGGTCAAAGGGGGGCTGACTACCCACCTTTTATAAAAAAACCACAGGTTACTTATTCTCAACAGTATAGCCTCGGATTTATGAAAATGACATGGAACTCGTCATATGCCTTATAAAGTTGGAACATGGAACGTAACATCACTCGATAGACCTGGAGCATGGACGGAACTGAAAAAACAATTGCAACAACTAAATTTAGATATAGATGATGTAGAGATGGTTGACCGTTGATATGATATGAGAAGGAGTTAATCGAGGGTGCGGTCAAAAAAAAAATAAAAAAAAAAAATTAAAATATATAAATAATTTTAATTTTTGCCGACGTTTCGACCCACTTTGCAGGTCGTCTTCAGGGCTACAAAAGATACAAACATGTTGAAAATATAAAAATAAAATAAAAAATAAATATAAGTATATATAAATTACGAAGAAGTTGTCAGATACAGAAATAAAAGATAAAGAAAATAAATAAAAGAAAATAAATACATGAATGTTAACGAATAAATGAATGTTAACGAATAAATAGATTGAAAATTGAATAACTATTGTTACAGTAAAGTTAAAATATGGATAATATAACATAATAATAAGATATCAGTGGATAACAAGCAAGTGGAGGTTACCTTTAATTGTAAATAAACAGATAACGGGACCAAAGGTTAAGAAGTGAAGAAATTGAAAGATTAATAGGGTAACATTAGTGTAATATTGTTGGGATAGATTATTAAGTATAAATAACTCTATAAGAAAACAATAATTTTAAAAGAATACTTTAAAATGTAAGAATAAATGTAAAAACAAGGTTATGATGATAAAGAAACAAAAAACAGGTTGTACTATATATAGATGACAATTGACATTTAGTTTTTGAAAGCGATAATGGAATGGTAGGCTGTATGAAGATAATAATAAGGTGTATAGTTGAAGGATAGGTGTGTTAAGAAAAACTGGGAGCTGTATATATATGGGAGATATATATATATGTATATATATATATATATACATATATATATATATATATATATATATATATATATGTATATAAAATGGTACATTTGTGTACCAGTCTGTGGATAAAGTATTGTTGGGATGTCTTTTAATGAGAAGATCGAGGAAAGGGAGGGAATAGTTATCTTCGTATTCAAGTGTAAAAGAGAGGCGGGGATGATATGAGTTAAAGGCGGAAAGGATGTCAGGAATAGTATCAGGATTGACGATGATATAATACATACACACACATATATATATATATATATATATATATATGTATATATGTGTATGTATATGTATATATATATAAGATAAAGACCGGAGACTGGCGGTATCAGCCTTAATACTATCTGGTAATGTAAATAAACAGGCTAAGTGTATATAAGGAGGCTTATGGAACGAATAAAGCAGTGTTATTTCAGAAGTCGTGTATGTTACATCTTTTCCCTTTTCCTTCTTTTTTTTTATTTCTTAAGTCCGACGACGCTTAACTGGTGCCGAAACCCGGGACAACGTCAGGGAAGTAATTTTTTTTTAAGTAGATATTTTTTTTTTGGTGTTTAAGGAAAAGGTGAAATGCCGACAGAAGGATTGATTAGACCGGGAGTACTAAGCGTACCGGAAATTCCTCAACCTCAGGATATTCCACAGATCAATCAGGTACCCCAGATCGCGCCTCAGGTACCTCAGATACCTCAAGTCCCTCAGGTAGCACAGATCCCTCAGATCCAGGAGATCCCTCCATTACCAAGGGACACGTTGGCAGAAGCACACGCCAATGCCTTGGAATGGATGAAAATAAGAGCAACAACCACGCAGGACTTACGGAGGGCCATTGCGGACCTAGAACGATTCGGAGGCGAGGTAGGCGAGCTCAACCATTTCTTGAAAGGCGGAGATCGTCTTATGTCAAGAATCGAGGTGAAGGTGGCGGAGGACCTGGTGAACCTAGGGGACGCGGAAGAACTAAAAGCAGCTCTTGTGTGCCGAGTAAGGAGGAACGTCCTGAACCAGATCCAAGCGGACGAGGAGACTCCGTGGCCGGTGATTAAGGAGCGGCTGAAGAAGGCTTTTGGAGGAGGTAGGTGGACACCGGAAGAGGACATATTCCAAATGTTTAGGGAGCGGCGGGCACAACGACAGTCAAGGGGGCAATATGCGGGAGTACTCGTGGCGAAGTACAATCGCATAACCGAGAAGATGCGGGAAACAATGAGCGTGGGAGAGGTCGAAGCCAGGATGGAGTTTCTGTCGACAATATTGAAAGTCCAGCTGGCTAAAGAAACGGGGAAGAGGGACGGACTGCCCAGAGAGCGATCGTTCCTCGAATGCGCCCAGGAGATGATCGACCTAAGTGCCAGAGAGGAAGAGACACGGATGGATGTGGAAGAACCGGGTTGGACCCGAGTGACGGATAGACGACCATGGACAGCCCCGACAGGTTGGAAGAAGAGGGACACAAGGCAGCCGAGTGGAGAAAAAGCCCCGACGAGGGAAAGAAGATCGGGACAGTCGTCGAGGCCGAGGAATGGGCCCCGGAGGGAAGAGAGAAAATGTCACGGGTGTGGGAAGCCGGGACATTTAGTAGCGCAATGTCCGCGCACCAGATGCTTCGAGTGCGGGACGGAAGGGCACATAGCAAGGCAGTGCCCATACATATTTCACAGGAGGGAGAGACCTCAGGACGAACCCATGGAGGTGAATGTGCAGAGGATGAAAAGACGAGCCAGGGTACATCAGCGGGACGGATCTTCGGAGGAGGCAACCGAGGAGTCAGGAGCGTCGGAGGTGAAGGAGGTAGGCGCAGCCAACGGAGTGAGCAGCGACGAGCGGCGGCAGAAAGGAGGAAGCGGGACGACATCTGAGGAGTGTGTCGGCAGAGAGGCGACCGCACAGCAATATGCAACAACGTCCGAGGTAAGCCATGCTGGTTGCCAATTATCGAAGTAGACGGGGGAGTAAAGTGTCTTGTGGACACGGGTAGCTCGAGCACTATTATGACTCGAAGGGCGTTAGGAAAAGGGTGCGGGAGCGAGAGGGTACTCCGGATACAGAAATGTGACTGCCAGCTGATCACTCTGGGTGGTCCCTGTAGTGTAGAGGGGGAGGCGACAATTGGGCTTGATCGGTGGACAGGGAAAGAGGGTGAGCTAACGGTGCATGTGGTGGAGAACATGACTCGGGAATACCAAGTCATAGTAGGGTGCGATTTGTTAGGTCAGGTAGGGGCGAGCATTAGAAATCGTAGAGGAGTCTGGAGCGTTAGGTTGGGAAAGAGGAAGTTCGGATGTATAGGGATCGCGAGAGAAAGAAGGGTGCGGATAGGAGCGGTGGACAGAGTGGAGGACTGGAGGAAGTTGCTACAAGAGGAGTTTAGGGATATCTTCTTCAGGGAAGGTGAGGTATTAGGGGTAACAGGGAGGACGGTGCACGAAATCCCACTGAAACAGGAGAGGGTAACTTACGTGAAAGAGAGAAGATACCCGCAGGCGTTGAGACAGCATATTCGGGAGGAGCTAGATAGTCTAAAAGAACAGGGAATCATAGTTGATAGCACCTCACCATTCAATAGTCCCCTGTGGGCGGTGAAAAAGAAGGCAGCGCCGGGGGATAATAAGGAAAAATACAGGGTGGTAGTAGACTATCGTAAATTGAACGATAACACGGTAGACGAGAAGTACCCGATCCCGAGATTCGAGGATATACTCGATAGGTTGAGTGGGGCCGTGGTCTTTAGCACGCTGGACCTCAAGGCGGGATACCACCAAATACGGATGCACCCGGAAGACCAACACAAAACAGCGTTCACATTTGAAAGGGGGCATTATGAATTCACCAGAATGCCGTTTGGTCTGAAGAATGCGCCCATAACATTTCAGCGTCTGATGGACGAATTTTTGAGGGGCATCGATGACTCGGTATGCCAGGTATACATGGATGACCTGCTGATTTTTAGCAGAACGGAAACCGAGCACGTGGGACATCTGAGGGCAGTATTCGAAAGGCTCCGGCAATTCGGGCTGAAATTGTCAAGCGAGAAGTCTCTGCTGGGACAAACGCGGATCAATTTTTTAGGCCACACTATCTCTAGCGAGGGGGTCAGACCGGATGCGGCAAAGGTGGAGGCAATCACGCGGATGGCGGTACCACGGGACGTCAAGGGGATTCGTAGGCTTCTCGGGACGCTGAATTATTACCGGAGATTCGTACCCGAGATGGCAGAGTATTTGGTACCCATTAACAATTTGTTGAAGAAAGGCGCGAAGATTGTGGTGACACCAGAGATGGAGAATAACATTCGAAAATGTATGAATAGGTTGCTGACGGAGCCGGTGTTAGCGTTCCCGGATTTCGAGAAGCTTTTTAATATAACCACTGATGCGAGTGAATACGCGCTAGGGGCCGTTTTGTCCCAGGGGGGGAGTGAGGGTGAACGACCGATAGCATACGCGAGCCGTCGGCTTACGGGTGCGGAATCAAGGTACAGCGCTTTGGAGAGGGAGCTACTCGCGATAGTATGGGCTATCGACCATTTCAGGCCATACGTATTCGGGAGAAAATTTCGAGTCCATACCGACCACAAACCCCTCCAGTGGGTAGGAAAACTCAAGGAAACCTCAGCTAGGGTCACAAGATGGAAGGAGATCCTAAGCCAATACAACATAGAGGTGGTGTATAAGCCGGGAAAGGAAAACGTGGTGGCAGAC